GTTCTTGTACGAAGGTGATCTACTGAGGAGGTCTGATGTTCCAGCCACTTCTGTGAAACAATCTGTGTGCTACCTTAGTGTGCTGTACTGTGGACCGAAGGTGCGAGTAACTTTAGTATAGCAGAAGAGCACAGACCCAGGAAAACACCTGGTAACCGGAGAAAAAACTACACAGAATCAGTATCAAGACAACAAAATATCATATATACACTGTGGACTAGAAAGATGTCGAAAACATTTTTTTTCTTTTGTTTAGGGTAGCTGGATTGTGAATTAAGCTTATTTTGTTAATATTAATTAGTGTTAACTTTTCCCCTCACCAGGCAGAATCTGGGTAAAACATGATGGTACAAACTATTCCCAGTTACCTCCTTGGAAGCCCCACATCCTTCTCCTGCTTACTACAGAGTCCGAGCAATTTGGAATCTCAGTAAGGGGTCGAAAGTGCTGAGCAAATGTTCTTCTAAGAGCAAGGTTACTGGCATTTCACCACCTATTTTCTCAAGGCACACTTAAGTCACAGCTGTGCTGCATGCTCACAGAGCCAATGTGGGAAATGCCACCCTCACACAGTAAGCTGGTAAGCTCACCGCTGTCAGACGCAGGACTGTGCTGAGCCCACTCCTGGGGGAGAGGCCAGGGCTCAGCGAGCAGAAGATTCTAGCCCTGCTCACTCTGGCACATCAAGAGTACAGGATGGCCCCATACACATTCTGAGGGCAATTAGGATCACAGCTTTGAAGACTGGGCAGCAACCTTGCTGTGTATCTCAGGATGGATACAGAAGGTGCTGTTTTTCTTAACAGAAATGACCCTTCTACTTAAAGTGGAACCCAACCATGGGACTCCCATTGAGCCCACAGCGGTCAGATGCTGTTGCAAAGGACTAGGGGGACACGGCCCAGCCCTGCTCTGAGCAAGAGGATGGACCACGACACTGACGCAATGTCCACATAGTCACCTGTATAGACAGCTGCCTTCCTACCTAAAGGTATGTCCCCACCCATAAACCTCTCCCAACAGGCACCCCTGTCCTTTCTCAACCACCTTAGGTATCCCAGATGGTGGCTCACCACAAAGCAGCTGTCAGTACCAGGTTCATGTCCACATGCAAACATGTACTCTCATGTCTCAGGCAAACACCTGGACATGAGACTGCTGCGTTGCTGGGCAGCTGCCTAGTTCCACTACCAACTATGCACATTCCATGGGATCTCTTTGTAGGCTTCCCCTAACAGTACCACTGAACTAACTGGGACACAATGAACGAACTGCACATGTGTGACAGGTATGCTTTTACAAGTTGACACACAACAGTGTATGTAAACACCCATGAAACAAACCACCACAATCGAGAGAGTACACATATCTGTCACCCCAAAAAATCTCCCCGTCCCCCCCCCACTCTCATTTTTGACAAACGGAATCACAAAGGACAGACTTGTTTTTACTCAAGTGCTTCTGCATGGGGGGATCATTCCAACAGGCTCTGCACTATCACATGTACCAAGGGTTCGTACGTTTTTTTGCTGAGCAGTATTCCAAAGGCTTGGATTTGCATCATAACTCCCTTGTTTGCAGGGAACACAACTACAGCCAACAATCAAGGTAATGACCCACTAGGTGGACCAACAAGGTCTCTAATAGTGGTGATTATGCAAACAACTCCAAAGTTACCTTTCAATCCTCTAAGGGGGTAGGCTGGGAAAGGGTGAGACACTCAGAAAGAGTCCTTTCTTTTCTCCATCTTAAAAACACTTGGCAGGGCTGCGTCTACACTTTTCATCCCAGGATTCCAGGGCTTTGATCAACATCAGTTTCATATTGTAAACAAAAAAATGCATGTTACTTAAAGCACCCTGGAGTTCAGCCAGAGTCACCCCTGGCATCCTATCTGGCACACATCTTCTACCTTGAAACAGATTTGAAGTAAAATCAACTGTGCAAAAACTGGCAGTCAAGACTAATGTCAAAAGTAACTGCACACTGGGAAACAAGCAGGCAGTTCCTCAACAGTTATATGTGGAGCTGCCACATGACCCAGCAATTCTGCTCCCAGGAATCTACCCAACAATAATTAAAACATACATCCACATATACATGAATGTCCACAGTGGCACTATTCATAAGAGGCAAAAGGTAGAAACAACTCAGCTATCCATCAACAGATGAAAAAGTAAATACAATGTGGTCCATCCACACAATGGAATACCACTCAGCCATAAAGAGAAGTGAAGTCCTGAGATGTGCTACAACACTGATGAACCCTGAAAACACTATGCTCAATGAAATATCCTAGACACAGAAGACCACAGGGTCTGATTCCATTTACTTGAAGGTCCAGAACATGCAAATCCACAGAAACAGAAAGTAGATTAGTGGCTGCTGGGGGATGTAGGGAACAGGGATGAAGAGTGACTACTGATGGGTATAGAGTTTCTTTCTGGGGAGAAGGACATATTCTAAAACTGATTGTAGTTATACAATTGATTGTGGTTACAAAACTCTAAATGAACTAAAAGCCACTGAACTGTATATTTTAAATGGGTAAATTATATATGTGAATTCATATATACACAAGTGTAGGTAAGTAGTAGTGGAAGCGGGGACAGATGGCTCTCCAAGTCTTTCAGGAAGACCCACCACGTATTTGGTTCCATTGTCAACTCTTGAGTACACGTAAGGAAAGCCTTCCCAAATGTTTCAGGCAACCCATGCCACCAAGTGACACAATAGCCAATAGACTTTCCTGCCCCAAAATTCGGATCCCAAAAAGTCACTTTCCAAACCAAAAGTAAGGCTACAGGTGGGCGGGAACCCCTTTGTGTAGAAATAAAAACCATTAGGTCATGGGGTTAATTAAATGTCACAGAGGACAAAAATCTTTTCACGTCAACTGAACTCCAGCGAGCTCCGCTGCAATGTTTATCTCTGGCAGAGGGTTTCAATGCTCTCATTTTCTACAGCTCAGTGCTCAGGTGCATGAAAATAAATCGATTTCAACTGAAAGAGAACACACCCAGCAATTAGTCACAAACAGAACTTTGAGAATCTGAGGCCACCTCACATGTCTCTGGTCAAAAAGGGATTCACAATAAAACAAGTGCCTTTAACAACCAGCCCAGGGTCACAGCCTACTGCTTGACATCAAGATCTTTATTCACAGCCTCCTGCGCAAATGCACTGGGCAGAAGGCACAGCCAGCACTACCTGGCCCACTCACACCTGAAACTAGAAACTACACAACCTGAAAGTTAACAGTTCTAGAAGTGCTGCCCTGTTTTACAGCAGCAGAAACTGAGGCTCCCACTCACTCCTCCAGGCAAAGCCTCCTCTCCCTCATCTGTCTACCCCAATGGAAACAGTACTGCTAAAAGCACACTCTCTGCACACCTGTTGCCCCTCCCCAATGTCCCTCCAATCAAACCTTCTATTTTGAGGAAGCTGGGGTTAGAATGAGTCAAATATGTTCTACTGCTCCTGGAAGCTAAAAGAAAGCCCAAGTGGGTGGTCTACCCACGGGAGTGACTCACCGACTAGAATAGAAGCCCCCCTCCTTTGGGCTGAGGATGAGGTGGCTCCCCCAGTCCTAGCTGCCCATCCTAAGGGAACACCTCAGACAGGTGAGCCTCAAGCCCCTCCCTAGCCGTGAGAATCCAGGAATGTAAACGAAGGGAGGCTCCTAGCACAGAGTGTTCACCAGGGAAGGGAAAGGATGGATCTGAAGATGAGAAGAGGAAGGTGAAGGCATTCCTGTGACCTGGCCCACTCTGGCCCCCAACCCGGCAGGGGCTCAGGTCCAGGAAGTATCTGCATCTGGTACCGCCACAACTCAAACTCATATTAAAAACTCTGCAGCGGCTCCCGCTAAACATACACATCATTAAAAGAAAAACGAAAGTTTGTGTGGGGCAAGCCTGTTTCAGTAAAATCCAAAAAACTACTCCACTGGCGAACAAAACTCAAATACAACTTTTCCAAGGCAGGCCTGCAGGGTTACCTAACAGGTCGGTTTCAGCAACAGGCAACATGAGAAGGAAAAACAAAACGCCAACAACCTGTCTCCTGAATAATCTTAACAGCAAGCTACTGTGGGGCTAGCGATCAAAGGCAAAAATTCCCCTTCTGCTCTGGGAGCCCTGATCCTCTGCCTACCAGTGTCTAGGGCTGGGGAAATGTGAACCTGTGGCTCATTTTGTGTGTGTGTGTGTGTGTGTGTGTGTGAGGGGGGAGGCTCCCCGGTTGCAGTGGCCACAGGTTGGGGGGAGGGTGGTTCATTGGCCAGAGGTAAACTGGCGCAGGTCACCCTGGACCTGTTCAGAAAGGGGAACAAAAGCAGGTCAGACAGGACCTGGGGCAAGCAGGAGAAAATCCAGATCCAACCAAGGGGACTTAGGGCAGGACCAGCACCCTGAGGCATGTCACCCCAGGTCCTGCCATAGGAGCAGGTCACTCTGAACCCGTTCAAGGGGAGACTGGGGCATGCTTTAAGTAGGTCCAGACCCGCTGAGGGGGCCATGGCAGGCCAGAGTGGAGACCCAGAGTAGGTCACCCCACATCCACTCAGAGGGAGAACTCTGGTGGTGGTGGGGAATCGTGGACAGGCCAGAGAGGGAAGTTCTGGCAGATGGAAGGAGGCCTGGACCCTGCCCGGTGAGACCTGGCACAGGACTGGGACCCAGGTCAGGACACACCAGGCCCATTCAGAGGTTCACTCCCCTCACTCGGGGCAGGCCAGAGAGGGGACTCAGACTAGGGACAAGGCCAGGACCCAGCCAGAAATCCAAACCCGTTCAGAGGAAAGCAAAGGGACAAGTTGGAGCTGGGACCCTGGTTATATCAGAAGGCGGCCCAGGATAAGCCGAGGGGACTTGGGCCGGGATCTGGGGCCGGCCACCTCAGGCCCGTTGAAGGGGGAACGTCAGGCAGGCCGAGAGTGGGGAGGTGGCAGGTCGCTGGCGCCAACGCCGCCAGCTTCCGGATCGCCATGCTCCGCTCACCTGCGCGTCAAGCTGTCCGGCCGCAGCGACCGCGCCGCCCGGGCCTCCAGCGCCGCCCGCCCCGGATCCTCCGGGGCCACCCGGCGGCGTCTGAGTCTGGCTGGGGAGGGTGAAGTCGGTGAACTCGAATTCGGAGCCCTGAGTGTCCGCGCCCAGTAGTTCGGCCTCCTCTGTGTCCAGAAAAGTAAGCGTCTGCGAGCTTGGCCCGTACGCCTCCACACTCATGGCGCCGCCGGGGCCGCGGGCCTGGCCGCTCCGCCCGCACTCGAGCCCGCCGCCGCGCCGAAGCCTAGGCCGCAGGCCTCAGGCACCGCCAACGCCGCGCCCCGGGCTGGACCAAACCACCCGCAGCCGAGAACCAGGCCAAGAGCCGCCGCCGCGTCGCGTCGCTGCCGCCGCTTCGCCCCTCGTCCGCCG